TCATTAATTCAGTGGTAGAAATCTTTTCATAATGTACATGTATAGCAAATCATCATGTTACACATTTTAAATATATTACAATTTTATTTGTCAGTGATACCTCAGTAAAGCTGGGGGTGGGGAATAACAATAAATTTGTAGAGAAGTGACAGGACAAAGGACAGGGCTTTGGGCTTCAGGGGTGACAAACGGTGGGCAGGTAAACATACGGAGGAGACAGGTCCCGGGCCCGGGCTGAGTCGGTAAGGTCTGCTGCGCCGATTCCTCTGGTGTCAGCTCTAGGATAACAAAAGTCTAGGGCTGTCTCTAGTAGTTAAGAATCCTCCTTCCCTTTCTGAGAGAGACAGAAATAAGAGAGTTGTTCTTGCGTGTGCTTCTTAATTGCCTTCAGCTGAAAATATTCTTCATGCCAAAACGGCATGTTTGGGATCGCGTCCTCAGAACCATCCCAGGTATACTCTGTAGCAATCTGTGGTTCTCCTTGGCTCCTTTCCTCAAATGTTGCATTGAACTAGTCACAACCTTTCCTGGCTTCATTTCATCTCTGATGCCATTTCGTCGGGTTTCACCATGGAGATTGGTATAAGAATGAGAGTCACATCCCCAAAGTAACGTGGCACCCATTCTAAAATCTGCCCACCTGGCCTTTTGAGTTTTACTTGGCTACTCACTTATAGTGATGGACAACAAAACCCAAGTTTTCCTGAAGAAGAGCTTTTTATCCATACATGCAAACACTTAAGGATTTTCCCAAGACATGTTCCTAGTAATAATTTAAATAAATTCCAGAATCCAAAATTAAGGCAGGTTGATAATCAGTATAACAATTTTAACTAATCTGTACTCAGTAATTTAACTCCTGGGAATAATTCCTCAGGAAACAATACAAATATGAGCAAAGGTTACAAAATTGTACTCGGCAACATTATGTGTAATAGTGAGCACTTGAAAGCAAACAAAACATTAAAAAAAAAGTTGCCTGGTGGAATAATCGCTTCCATTCACTGGACTTATGCAGCCATTAGAAATTCAATTTACAAAATATATTTGTTGGTATGGAGATCTCTTTATGATAGATGTTAACTGGAAAAAGCAAGTCACAAAACTATGATAACATTTTAAATATAGAAAACCATGGACATCGCATTTATTGAGGGATTCATCTAGTTGAAAGAAACACTCAAATCAGCTTAAGCAAAAAAAAAAAAAAAAAAAAACAAGCAAGGTCACTCCTGGACTCCGGGTGGCGAGCGGGAGCTCCCAGGAAGCAGGGCAGTACTCTCTCCTGCCCCCAGGACCCGTGCTCTCCAATTCTCATTCCTCCATTTCTTTCTCTGCCCACCAGCTCTTTCTTCTCTGCTGCATGGAACCTAAACATGACCTTCCAGTTGAAATACACAGCAGAGGCTGGCTAGATTCTCTATAACGCAATTCCAAGTCTCTGGCATATAGAATTGAATTGGTCAGGCTTGGGTAGGCAAGTCTCCCTCTCGTCCATTTGGATCTCACGAGGGGTCAGTTTGTCCACCTGGCTGCAGGTCTTCTTCTCAGTAGCGTGAAGGGAAAGGGCAGATGCCTGAAAGGCGGTTCACTGTATCGTCACAGAAGAAAAGAAATATACCAAAATTTTAACAATATTTATCCCTGATAGACTGGATTACAGTGGTCCTTATTTTATATTCTTTTATGTTTTGCGAGTTTTCAACACTGTTATGAATAAGTTTTAGAATCAGGAGAAAAGTGGGGTTGGTTTTGCTTTTTAATACGTAACATGTCTTGGGTCCTGTCTCTAACACGTGCCAGCTTGTTGGGTGTGCGAGATGAGAAGTCAAATGATTAATGGACATTCTCTGCCCTCGGTGAATCTACCTGCTTGTGCTGGCTGCACCTTCCTGGGTTCATCCGCACCCCGCCAAGGCCTGGTGGGATTCTAAATGGTACCTGCGCCCAGGACCACTCAGTTACGTACCTCTGAACTCCAATAGCAACTCCAGTCCGTACTATGTGACTTATGTACTGATTACGCGCATTCGTTGACCCTTGAATTATTTCAGGTGACTATATCTCATCTTCTCCCAAAAGACTGATTTTTAAATTAAGAAAAACACTCTTAATTTTTTGCTAATACCCTTTAAGGTGACCAGACTGGTGCACGTTATTGCAATAACTACAAGTTTGCTGGTTAAAACTCACTTTGAACTGACTTTCCCACAACCACTCATTGCTGGTCTCTTTGCCGAGTATTTAAACCATCAGTTCTTCCCACACTTGTATGAAATGAGTCATGATTTCTCTCTCACTTCACTGTCCACACTTCCTCCATTTGCGCAGGTCAGTCGGCCAGCACGCACAGTTTCAGGATCACAAGAGCATGGCCATACATGTCTAATTCCGTTAAGAGTTTGGGTAGAGTGTAAAATCATATTTAAGTGTTTCTTCTTTCATACACACAGGGAATTCCATCCCTAAATTTATGACATATGATCTCTAGATGAGTTTTTGTGAATTTTACTGTGGTTAGGGCTGGATTCAAGTTTTAAAGATGTTCCTGTGGTTCCCTTTGAACGTGACCTTTGGTTTTCATAGGAGAGGTGACATGATATAGCATGAAGCCAAAGAAACCAAGGTTTTACATTGCAGCTCAAAGACCCATTAGCAAGATACTTTACCTCTCTGAGCCTTGGTTTGCTCATTTACAAAGTGGGAATAACGCCCGCCTCCAGTGTAGTTCAGACTAAGCATTTGTGCAAGATCTGTCACATGTTAGCCAGGAAACATTTGCTCAACAGATGAACTAAAAAGAAAGTTAAAAAAATGAAATAAACTATCAGGAAAACACCCATAGAATTGTCCTGAAGGGCAGTGACCTTGATAATAAAAAGTTCAATCTAAAAAAACCAGGGTTCGGACTTCGAGCCAAGATGGAGGTGTAGGTAGACACACTGTGCCTCCTCGCACAACCCAAAGAAGGACAACAACACATTTGAAAACAAAAAACAATCAGAACTGTCAGAAAATCAAACTGTATGGAAGACCGACAACCAAGGAGTTAAAGAAACATTCACATGGGTAGGAGGGGTGGAGATGGGCAGCTGGGACAGAGAACATGTGCAGCAAGGTAGTGTCTGGCAGACAGTGGTCCCATATTTGCGAGCAGATAAACTGGGAAGAACAACTGAGGAGCCAGACAGATGGCGCAGCCCTGGGTTCCAGCACAGGGAAATAAAGCCTCAAAATCTCCATCTGAAAAAAATCTGTAGGGGTTGCAGCAGTGGGAGAAACTCCCAGCCTCACAGGAGAGTTCACTGGAGAGACCCACAGAGTCCTTGAATGTACACAAACCCACCCACCTGGGAATCAGAACCAGAAGGATCCAATTTGCTTGTGGGTATCGGAGGAAGTGACTGAAGGCTGTCAGAGAGCTGAGCAAACAGCACTCTTCCCTCTTGGACCCCTCCCCCACATACAGTGTCACAGTGCAGCCACATGAGTTGTCCCACCCTGGTGAACATCTAAGGCGCCACCCCTTACTATAGAACAGGTGCTCCGAGACCAAAAAAAAAAAAAAAATGGCCCAAATGAAAAGCTCCAGATCAAAAGCTCCAGAAAAAAATACAACTAAGCGATGAAGAGATAGCCAACCTATCAGGTGCACAGTTCAAAACACTGGTAATCAAGATGCTCACAGAAATGATTGAATATGGTTGCAAAATAAAGGAAAAACTGAAGGCTATAAAAAGTGAAATAAAGGAAAATGTACAGGGCACCAAGAGTGACGAGAAGGAAACCGGGATTCAAATCAATGGTTTGGACCAGAAGGAAGAAAAAACATTTAACCAGAACAGAATCAAGAAATAAGAATTCAAAAAAAAACAAACCCCAAAACAACAAAACAACTAAGAGAGGCTTAGGAACCTCCAGGACAACTTTAAATGTTCCAACATCCAAATCATAGGGGTGCCAGAAGGAGAAGAGGAAGAGCAAAAAATTGAAAACATAATAAAGGAGAACTTCCCCAATCTGGCAAAGAAAATAGACTTCCAGGAAATCCAGGAAGCTCAGAGACTTTCAAAGAAGTTGGATCCAAGGAAGCACACACCAAAGCACATCATAATTGTATTACCCAAGATTAAAGATAAGAAGAGAATCTTAGAAGCAGCTAGAGAAAGGAAACAGTACAAAGGACTTCCCATAAGACTACCAGCTGATTTCTCAAAAGAAACCTTACAGGCAAGAAGGCACTGGAAAGAAGGATTCAAAGTAATGAAAGGCATGGACCTACATCCAAGGTTATTCTATCCAGCAAAGCTGTCATTTAGAATGAAAGGGCAGATAAAGTGCTTCTCAGATAAGGTCAAGTTAAAGGAGTTCATCATCACCAAGTCCTTATTATATGAAATGTTAAAGAGTCTTATCTAAAAAAAAAGAAGATAAAAATATGAACAGTAAAATTATAACAAACTCACAACTATCAACAACTAAACCCAAAAAAACAAAAACAAGAACATATTAAGCAAACAACTAGAATAAGAACAGAACCAGAGAAATGGAGATCACAGGGAGGGTAATCAGCAGGAAGGGGGAAGGGAGGAATGGAGAAAATGGGGGCATTAGGGGAAGGTACAGGGAATAAGAAGCATAAATGGTAGGTACAAAATAGACAGATGGAGGTCAAGAATAGTATAGGAAAAGGAGAAGCCAAAGAACTTATATGTATGACCCATGGACATGAACTAAGGGGGGCAGGGAATGCAGAGCAGAGATTATGCAGGAACAGCATAATCAATAAAATATATTAAAAGTAAAAAGAAAAATGAAAAAAAAAACAGGGTTTGCCAACTAGAAAAGAAAAGATGCAGAAGTCCTTTTAGAATGAAATTACCGGAGTGAAGGTCAGCCACTCCTTGGATGAAACGTGGGCGGGAGGGGAGGTGGGTGGAGGGGGCAGGGCTTAAAGGGGAAGTGACGCTCCTCCCCCAAGCCTCACTTCAACCTTAGTCCTCAGGCTGAAGAGGCAGCACCAGATGAAGTCTTGGACCACATGAACCTCCCCAAATGAGAAGCCAAGAAGACTTGGTGAAAGTTTCCTCTTAAATTTCCTGGGGAGAGATTCAGATATAGAAACACCCTTCCTGCCACCTGCCGGAAGCAGGAGAAACCACTGACAGCTTCAAGACCAGGTAACCCCAGGAGGCACCAGTCTTCATTCTCAGCCTTCCCAGAAGGACACAGTTGGGTCTTCAGTCCTGGCTTCACTAATGAGGCAATGTAATTAGGGGAGACGCTTACTGAGTCTTTTAAACTGTTCTTATCATGTAAGTCTCAGAATGCAAAGTGACAGCTAAGAATCTATTGGGATTCCAGGAAAGAGAAAGAAGATATTTAGTTTTCTCTTTCACTTCTCCTTTGCTACAGAAGGCTGGGGATAGTTCAGTTAAGACTGTGTAAGTGGCTGAATCATGTTTAACACCACGCCCTTCTCTCTCATTGAGAGTATGACAAGATAGGTGATGGCAGGACGGCTGTTCAGTGGCCCTGGAGATGGGGACTTCCTCCTCCCTAGAACAGGGATGGGGCTGCGGACAGGAATCCTGGGCTGGAGCCCTGGGTCCCTAGCAGCTTGTGGGAACTTGGGCACAAAATCTAGTCCTGGCAGACTCCCTAGGGACTTCCTTGAAATCCAGGCCAAGATAACATGAGCAATCCCTCTCCCTTCCCTCTAGAAAGCTCCCTCCTCTCTGGCACACGGGCCTCTCTCTCCTACCATCAGAGCTGAGTCCTTTTGCTTGATTAATATAACCTATGGCTCTGTCAATTTAGCTTCCATTGTACAAAGTTAAGGTGTTTTACCACGTGCCTCATTTCACCCTTAGGATTAGAGAACATGTCATCCTCACACTTGACACCCAGGGGAGGAGAAAGGAAGACTCTCAAAGGCTGGACATTTGGAGACGGAAGGAGAAAGGCAGACAGTTTCTGAAGGGCATCGAGGGCACAGGGTGGTGCTCAAGGGGAGGCTCAAGGCAACCAGACCAGGTTCAGCTCACTGGGCTAGGAGCCCTCCTTACAGATGAGTGTCTATGCCAGTAAGTGACACTTGGGCCTCAGCTGTGTCCAGAACAGTGAAAGTCAGCTCTTTTGCTGAACCTGTTGCCCTAGGGGCCTCCACACCCCTCACCCCTGGGACCAGCTGATGCCAAGTTCTGTCCAGCTTAACCTGTAGCTTCACTGATCCTGGGAGCCTGCCTCCTCCATTCACACATCCTTTACCTCCCACAGGGGAGTGAAATCTAACCACAACAAACAAATCCAGAGCTAGAAGCATTCCCAGTGTGTCTGGCAGTAGCAGAGGTTCAGGCGAGTCCCCTGCAGCTTTGGGCTCCCCAGCTGTACACCCAGTGTCCACCCAGGGGCACCTTCTCTGCAGGGGGAGACACTGAGGACTCTGGGGTGGGAAAGGAGGCCAACAAAAGAAACTATGTAACCTTGTTCTAGGGAGTAGGTTTGTGCAGTTTGCTAGATAGATAAGGAGAGAGTATGTAAATATAGGGTAGTGAGTTATTCATGGAATTAGAACAAGTCTCACAGGTCTTCTGCGGATCTCGCTCTTCCCTCCCCTCTCTGAGCACAGGGGGCCCCACCCTGGACTTTGTTTCCATTAACATTGGGTTGAAATTTATGCTGTGGGTTTCCAAAACCCAGAAGTTGGACTTTCACTTTCAACTGGAGTAGCTGAGAGCAGAAAGGATCCAATGTGTGATAACCTAAGTCACCGCTGCTTTAAAGTAAGACTTAGCTGTTCGTTTAACATACCTCTTCCTTAACAATTTGCACTTGTTAAAGGCATTTAAAGTGTCTTAACCGGCACGTTTATGTCTCCACGCACCCTCTTTTAACCAAGTGCTTCCCAGGCCTGGCCACAGCGCTCACCCCGCTCCGCCCCACCCCCCGGAGGTGTGCCCCCGTTCACGGGGGTCGCTGCCTGAGCACTGCTCTGTTCTCTGCTTCTCATCCTTAACTTGGCCTGTCGCTTGGGCCGGTGCTTCCTTCCTTCCTCTCTAGCCTATAACACAACAAAAATTTCTGTCACAAATGGAAGGACTGTGTAGTCCTTGACCTCAGTGGCTTTCCCCCATTTTCTGATGTTGCTTCTGACTCAGCATTTAGCAAAACTTATTTCTTAAATAAGATGGACCCTTTGTCTCTCCAACAATGCCACGCACAACACACACACACACGTGACCTTCCAGTACTCCTCACACTGCATGAGAAAGGTATGGGTTTTTGTTTTGTTTTGTTTTTAACTTACGTAGAGGTGTCTTCAGAAGTGCAGTCTTATGGCTTGACTTCTACGCAGTACATAGTTCCTGTAGCCTCCAAATGTACTTCTTGCCTACCATATCCTGAGCAGCCGAATTCAAAAGGAAGCTTCAAATTAAAAACCTCATAGATCCTCTCCTGACACATTCCAGTTCTGGGCTCTTGCCTGGGCTCAGCCGCTTTCCAGCCAAGTCACTGCCCAGAGTTCTGACCACACGGCTCGCTCTTGCTTCATCCTCTCGGGCTCATTCTCATGCTTTTCCCAGGTTGCTCAGTCTTCACCCTTGGCCCACTGTCTTTGCTCACGCTTACCTGAGGTCTCAGTAGTTCTAAGCAACATCTTTCACTCATAAGGTTGCCAGATTTGCATAAAAATACAAGATGCCCAGTTAGCTTTGTATCTCAGATAAATAACAAATACTTATTTTAAATACAGATGGTTTCCCAAATTAATGATTGTTTACTTGCGGTTTTTCAACTTTACCATGATGCAAAAGTAATACGCATGATAAATGACATGAGTTAGTGGACACTTCAGTATAAAACAGGCTTTGTGTCAGATGATTTTGCCCACCTATAGGCCGATGTAAGTGTTCCTAGCGTGCACAAGTTAGGCTAAGCTATGATGTTCGGCAGGTTGGATGCATTCAATGCACTTTTGACTAGTGATATTTTCAAGTTGCCATGGATTTATCTGGACGTAACCCATCATAAGCCAAGGAGCATCTGATCAATCATGTCTTTAGGGACATAATTATCCTAAAAATTATGTGGTGCCTGAAATTTGATGGGATGGCCCATATTTTATCCAACAGCCTTATAATTGTTTTTCATTCATTTATCAGATATTTATGGAGAAATTACCATGTGTCAGGCATTGCACTAGGTGCTAAGAAAGCCAGCCACGTCCAGTCTTTACATTTTGCAATAGACATATTTATATACATGCAATACACGTATTTATAAACACACAATACACATGTAGAAGCAGAGGAAACTATAAGAAGAGTGTTGATTTGGTGTTAAACCTAGTATTTGCATGTCATTAGTTAGTTTGCTTAATTGCTGCATTTAATGAGCTTGCTTTTATAAACATACTAAAATTTACTTACAAAAAGGCAATCTATTAAAATAATATCATTTTAATGAATAATGATGCCAATCTTGGTTGAGCATTTCTCATCTACCATGCACAATTTGAAGTGCTTTGTATGTGCTAATCCTTTTTATCCACATCCCAACTTGATGAAGGAGGACTTTTTATCCCCAGTCCACTGGTGGAAAAATGGAGGCACAGATAAATTAAGACATGTACCCAATTCACACAAGCAGTGAACAGAAGACCCAGGTACTGAGCAAGGTTATCTGGATCGAGAGACCGGCATGTTAACCACTGCTCTGTGCGAACCAACACACGTCACTGCGTCATAGTGTGCAAGGGCTTTCATGGTTTGTCATGTCATCTTCCTACACGGTCAGCCAGTTAGATAATGTGAGTTGCAGCTTACAAACAGAAACCAAGTCCCAGCTCTCCCAGGGCCTGGCCAAGGAGCAGTTCCTCAGACGAACAGCTCGCATATCATCCCAGGTGGGGCTCTTTCAGACGAAGAAGAAGAGGACACAGGGAGACAGAAAGCTTCCTGCTGGCCTGCAGGACAGCTATTCCATTCCCTCCTGATAGCAGAGTCAGAGAGAAAAGTTAGAGACTGGACGTCCAGGACCAAGGGGATTTTGTGACCTGCCCAAGGACTTTGCAAGTCAGACGCTGAGCCAGCCCGGACCCTGAGCCCCCAGGCACCCCGTCCACTTTATCCAAACCACGTCACACTGCCCCAAACCCCGTCTGCAGTCACTGCCCATTTCTCTAGTCCTCCGACCTTGTATGAGAAGGTGCAGTGGGGAAAAAGGAGGGCTCCTATTGATTGGTTATCACACCAGCTTACGTGCCCAAAGACGGTCTTAAAGTGGGACCAGTAAGGGAAGAAGAGAATATGATTAAGAACCACCTCCAGGACAGAGTCAGAGAGCCCAGGACGACAGGCGTACTAGAAAAATGTAATAACCACCATTTCTGAGCCAGTTTCTGTATTGGGACGTCTCATGCATTGGCTTGTACCCTCACCACACCCCTGTTGTTTTCAACTAACCTGTCGGAAACTGGGGTTCAGAGAGGTGAAGCACCCTGCCCAGGTCACACAACCAGTCAATGCCATGACCAGGACTTGAACTCGGGACTGTTAGTCGGAGGAGCTTAAGCTATTGTTCAATACATCCACTGTGAAACTTTAATCGAGTGAGAGTTGGTAGATCCGGGCACATGGAACAAAAAGGAAAACGTAGCCCTTTAACATACAACAGAAGAAAGCAAAGTAGACTATTAACAGAAAGAAAGAATTAACAGAAAAGGGATTATTTCATGAAAGCTGCGATTGAACAGAATCAGTTTATTATATCTGTCTGGTTGTTCATATGAAAATGAGATGAAACCCTTCCTCTGTCCCGGTCATTTTTTTCTTGTGTCCATCTTCCTAAATCATGTCTGTGATCCTATCACTCAAAAAACCATGATTTTTCTGATGAAATCTTACACGAAATACCAAACATGGCAAGAAATAGGAGCAAATCTATACAAACTAAAAGTAGAGGGTGAATAAAGAAGGAAGAGAAGGCAGGAGGGGCCTCACGCACCAGACACTTCTCTCTCCTGAGCTGGCCCTCACCTCGCCCCCTCCCAAGAAGACCTTTAACTGCCCTCCACAGTCTTGGGCTCCTTTCAGCCCCACATTCAGAGATTCCCATACCCTGGCCCCAACGACCACTTGGTTTATTGCCCCTCCACATTCCCAAGCCCCAGCTAACCGGTTATGAAGGGCGTGCTTACGGCAGAAGGTTCTCTCACCACTCCTCACACACACCGCGGATCCACCCACAGTCTCTCCTCTGCCCGTCCTGTTCTTAGCCCCAACATCCACCCACCCGCCTAAACCCTTTCTGTTGTTCAAGGGGCGTTCGCTCACCCTCTGTTTGCAGCTGTCTATTCCCGCCCATCTTCCCCCACCCCTGCCGGCTCCCTGCATCCCCTGCTCCTGTCCTAGCTCACTCTTCGGAGTTAACTACACACATGTGTCTCTCCTCGTCTCTATAAGACTGAACTTGCAAAAAGGAGCCTGACTTTTCCGACTCCCCTCCCCTCCCAGAACCAATAGAAAAGGTGCTCCATGCATGTGCACTGAGTCTCCCCTGTCTCTCCTGACCTACAAAGAGCAGGTGGCCCGCAGGTAGAGGACACGTGTATGCCCTTTGTTGTTGCAGGCTCACCATGTGCACCCCCAGCGCGTGCGACCTGGAGGAGATCCCCCTGGAGGAGGACGATACAAAGAGCATAGAATTCCAGATCCTGGAGCACTACGCCAAACAGCATGTCTTCAAGACCATGGCCGCTGTCTCCTCACCAAAGCTGCTGAGAACAAGAAGTTTGTCCCAGAAAGTACTGGGGAGTTGGACAGCAAACGAGTCATGGACACAGGTGTCATGGCCTTGCAGAAGTTCCCAATCTAGCGAGAAGCCCATAAACCTTGCCAAGAAAAAGTCCTCTTGGAGAACACTCTTCGAAGGGGCAGAGGCAGAGGCAGGTTCACAGAGCTCGACCACAGAGACCCAGGCCAAGAGTCGAAGGCAGGCGGAGTTTCAGGGGGGCTGCATCGTTCAGCAAGGGGCCAGGTCGTCTTCTAAGGTGGAAGAGGGCTTACAGGCCGAAGGTAGGCTTGGTGGTGGTGGTGGGGGACTTCTTTTCCCTCCAGTAACCAAATCTTTCCCTTCTTTGTGTGCGTGGTAGTTCCTCTCCTCCCGGCTGGTAATGTGGCCTTAGGCAGGGCATCCATTGTGCCTCAGTTTCCCAAGCTACTATCAGTAGTAATGGCCCTACTTTTCTCAAGACTGAGCAGAAAGAAAGAGGATGGCAGTGAAAGGTGATGGGACTGGTTTTCTGGCTCCACGGTCGATGAATAAGCCCAAGCTGCGGTCCAGATTCTTCGACCTCTGTGCCAGAGACCAGCATGAAGGAAAGTGCTCTGGACCGCGGCTCGGCCGAAGCCAGCCTGCCTCTCTGGGCCCCTGTGCTTCTGTCTGTATGCTCGGGCATCTCATCCTCCCTGCCTCGCGGGAGAGATGAAAAGATCAGGTAGCTATATATAAAAATACCTTTCAAAGTCGAAACCACCCTAAAAAAAAACAATCGAGAAGGGTTTAGACAAAATTTCCCTCAGCAGGGCAAAATACACTATTGAATAAAATAGTTTCATAAAAGACTTCATCACAGAGAGCTGCCTTTCAACCACAAACGTTGGCATAAGCTGCCTCTTCTATCACCTCTATTGCTGGAGGCCCGGCATTTAAAAGCAAACACCCCTCCTGCTGGGCTGATTGGACTGTTTAACTTTCCTATAATTAGTCAACAGGTGGCGGTAATGTCTCAAGGTTTAAATCTCCTGCCCTGCCTGGCTTACTTGGACAATCAGCTCACAAAAGGACAGCTTTAGGTCAGTCACTGTGGTCAAGGAGGCTTCCATTTCCTGCCAGACATAGAGTTTGAGAACAGAAGTGAGGGTCAGATTCCCCGGGCATGTCCTCGCCCCCCTCCTCCGCCCCACCCCCGGGGTTACAGCGAGCTCCTTCCCCAGGACGTGGGTGGCCCTGAGCTCCGGAGCAAACCACAGTCTGAAGGCATCTACATAGGCTTTTCTGCCGGGCCTGTTCTTCGGTCTTTGCCAGGAGACAGAAGATTTTACAAACTTTAATCTTCTGGCTTTCTTAAGTAACATTCTGCCTTTCCAAACTACAGCAGCGTCATTTGACCTTTTTTTATTTCCTAAAATTCCAAGATCTCTATATACATACATAGATATCTCTAAAAAGTAGACATAGTTACTTACCTCCTCCGTAGGCTTAGCTATAAACATTTTTATACACTTACCCTCTCTTCTCACCTTTTTCTTTCCACTCGCTTTCTTGTGTAGCTAATTGTGTGGGTCATTTGTTGGTTTTATGTTGGGTGTGATCCAAGAGAGCCTCGAGTTCCGTTTCTCGTTTGCCACATGCAACTCACAGCTCAGCAGCTGCTGTTACCTGAGTTCTTCTAACTAAAGATCGCAATGTAGCTGGGCTGCCATTGCCAGGACTCAGACACTGGGCTTAATTGAGAACTGTGCGGCGCTGTCCCCAGGCCAAGGTCTAGTACTGAGAGGCCTTATGGTGTAGAAAAACGCACGTCAAAACCCATTTCAGTGACTACCAACCCCGGGTCTTTCACGCATGGATCTTTTATTTCTCCACAGCTGTGACTCACTACATGCGACGTGTTGCAGTTAAGATTAATCTCAGCAACTACGTGTGGTGTTGTTTTGTTTTTACAAATTCACTTTTGTTTATGTACTTTTCCATAAGTTTAAATCCTGGACGGGTGCAGCACTGCCGGCATCCCGTGTCCGAAGGCCGCGGCAGGAAGGTCGTTTGGGAATTCGGCGTGAGCCGCGCCGCTGTTTCCAGGCGCGCAAATCGCCTTTGCCCTGATGGCTCGGGTTTTGCTCGTTTTGCCGCTGGGAGTCGCTGTGCTGCTGTTTGCTTTGTGCACAGCAGCTCGTCTCTCGCCTAGATGGCATCCATTGTCATCTGGAGCACAAGCACCTTCAATTTGAAGAAGGGCTGTGTGCTCCCTCTGGTTCTGGAGACCCTGCGCTCAGCCGGCAAACACTGGCCTTGGACCACAGCCTCCAGACAGGTCTGTCTGTCATGATGGAAGTCCTGTTCCCAGCAGGCCTCCGCAGGCTGCGAGAACCTAGCGGTGATTTTTTCTTTCCCACAGCAGAAGACCCAAGCTCAGCAGCCCAGGTCTGATACGGTAGTTCCAGACACTCATTAGGGATTCTTATTCTGCCATCCCTTCGCTAGTGGCCTCCAACCTCAAAGTGACCTTCCATTCCAAAGTGTCTGCTGGGAGTCCAGCCACCATGTCTACCTTTCCTGCAGAAAGAAGAAGCAAAGGAAGGACAAACAGGTGTCTTCTTTCTAAACAATTCAGCTCCCTTTTAGAAAGCTTTCTTGAAACTGCACCCAACTTCTTGTTACATCTCATTGGCCATTCTTAACTGCAAAGGAGTCTGGGAAATGTAGTTTTTCAGCTGCATCCGTTCCTGCCTCTGACATTTCAAGAATCTGTTATAGAAAAAGAGGAAAATGGACACTGAGTGGAAAATAGCATTCTCAACCACATGGAAGTCTCTCCCAAACTCTCTGCCCCTTCTCTTTAAAACAAATGCCTCAGGCCAAAGGCTCAGTGGTACCTTCCCAACCTTGCTCAGTTTAGCCCCATGATGACCCCCCAAAATAGGCTCCAAAGAATGGGCAGCCTCACTGTTCTCTCCCCACCCGCTCCAAATTCCCCTTGCCTATCAGGTGGAGCCTACTCAGACAAGAATGGAATCTTTTCTTTCCTGAGTGTTTAAAATTAAGGTATTCAAAACGGGAATCTTAACTAGAGTTAGTTCATCTGAGTCAAAATGTATTTGCTTATGGTTTTTCTCCCACACAGTTCATCTTCACCCCCAACTCCATGCCCCCAATTCACAGAGATCAATATACTGTACCCAGGTAAGTCATCCTGCATCCTTCTGTACCTGCCAGGGGTCTTGTGATTGCCCTGCCACATGGAGGAGGGACGAGGAGGGAAGGTGGGGGGACAGCCTTTGGGATCTTCATCTGCCTTCTTTGGGTGTGAGAGGGGCACAGTGTGGCTTCTGGTGGGAAAACCACGCACAGACCATCCCGGACAGGCTGCACACGTTTACAGAGGTGGCAGACATGAGCTTTTCTCTCTCCTGTGTCCTGTGGACACTGCTAAGGAAGGTTTCCCTTGTCTTTGGGATCTAGCCTTTTGCCATTTCCTCGCCAATGGCTGTGGGTGACCGGGGTTCTAGAGGAGGCTGGTTGGGCTGCAATAAGGTGCTTGAAAAGCAGAAAGAGTATTTGGTTTGGTTGTTAACATGGGAAGGAATGCACTGACCCTCCTGTCCTTGACTGTCCATTCTTCACTCTCTAATTCACTCATCTGGGTTTGAACCCTGTGAATGGAACATGAAAAATGACTTTTTAAAGGAGCCATTATGCCTTTTTTAAAAAGAAGGCATTTTAGACAGAGCATCTGTCTTTGTGGACGTTCAGTGCGTACGCCCAGGCAGCGAAGCGAGAGCCCCAGTGCCCTCATGCTCTGGAGGAATCCGGGGGAGAGGGTCAGATGTCACCTAGGCAGCTCCACGGGATGTCAGCCTGCTCTTTCTGTGACACAATTCCTCCTGGGCCGCAGGCGTTGCCTTGCCCCATCCTGATTCGTAAAGCCCAGGGACTTCCCAGGCACTCCGACCTTCCAGCCAGACTCCCACTCTGTTACTTCAAGCCTGTGAATTAAACAATATCGTTTCTCAAACATCCCATGGTGGGATTGCTTCATCTAGCATCACAGACAAAGCTGTGCAAGCTTCTAAAAGTTAAGAATTTAGTAATGACTTAACAGCGAACATTTCAATATTTCACTCCTGAACAACTGAGCAATACCAACTGCCCACACCTCCCCCTGACTTCCTTCCCCACCAGGGGCAAAGCTGACTTGTCTTTCATGGACTATGACATTCAGGAGGTCAATGTCATTGAAACCTTCAGGTCTCCAACGCTTTATTCTCTAGTTATATGTGCAAATACATGGCACGCTCTTTTCCCGGATTATAGATTCTTGAAGGTCATGGGCTGCACTGTATGTGTCCTTGCTTCCTATCAGCATTAATTAGATGTTTCCCAGTAGACCTAGAAGAGAGAGGAGAGGAGAGTTCAGTGTTTATTTGATAATGGACTTGAGTAATGAATATGACCAGAGAGCAGGCATATTTATCTTTCCTCAGTGACCAACCCCCATGGGCTTGACAAACTATTGAATGCCCTCCTATGTACATAAAGACCAGCTTTCCAAAATATAAAGGATGTCCAAAAAAAAAAATAAAAGCATAATGAGCATTTCCTCAAGTGAAGAACTAAGTACACCCGTTTGTGTTTTTTCCCTTGCAAAGGGGGAAGGGGGCCCCAGTTTTGCAAAGACATCAAAAAGAGGGTGCAGGACAAGTATTTCAAGGTGGTGATCCTTTCCCTGTGTACCCCTCCCCCATCTCGGTCTCTGCCAGGCGACTGCCAGCACTTTCTGTGGAGTGGCCTGCCTTGCACACGCGCTCCCAGGCGGTTTCCTCTCGCTCGAGGCTGGTCTTTCATTTAGGGCAACTGTGCATACCAACGAGCTCGGCCAAGTTCTTCTGGGAAGGAGAACCTCTCAGCACCATTCTGTCTTATTTCAGCTGTGGACCCCAAAGTCGCTTCCATTGCCAACCGAGTTGCTGAAATTGTTTATTCCTGGCCACCTCCAGAAGAGCACATCCAGGGAGGAAACTTCAAGTCCAAGAGGAGTTTGGGACCACAGGCCCCCCTAACCTTCCAGTCTGGGACCGAAAGTGCTAAAAAAGGTAACCTTCCCTCGGAGTGTTTGTGTTGGGCCGTGTTTTCCCGGCACAGAGAGGTGTGCAGGCATTTCATACTGGTTCAGCCCAGCGCTCTGCGACTGGACCAAGGGCAGGACAGCAACATGCTGGAGGCACCGACCTTCAGCCTGAGAGGCCAGCCCAAGCCAAGAGGAGTGAGCCAGGAGATTGAAGCAACATGCCAGGCTCACTGCTAAGTCCAAAGAAAAGTCTAGTGAGGGAGAGGAGGAAGTACAGAGCATGCAATCAACTTTGTCCACAGGGGGAAATGCAGTATTAGATTTGATCGTGTTAGCAATGGCCACAGACCAGTTCGCTCATGGGAGTGCAGAGGGTCCAGATCCAGCAGCAGCCCAGAGATTTATAACATTGCCTTGGACTCCTGTGGAAAAGCAGGAAGGTGTCAGACACTGTGTCTGGGGCAGAACACAAAGCAGAGCTGAGAAGTAGTGATTAGGCTGGGTCAGTTGTCACCAAAACTGTAGCAATAGCTGGGACTGTCGATTCCATCCGACTTGCAGAACTTCTAGAGTTGAGAGGAGCAGGACCGAGCGGGAAATTCAGCCCTATACTCCCTCACTGATGACAGCCCTCTCTCCTGGCTGCCGGTGTCCACACTCCAGTGGAGGATGAGGGACAGAGCTGGGGCCTGGGTCTGCAGCACAGCGAAGTGCAAGGCAAAGGTGTCTCCCGGCCTCGGCGGTGGGGTGGTGAGTTTGTCCACCCTGTGCCGTAGCGTTGGGGCCGCAGTCTATCAGCAGGGCTTAGAGTGAGGAGCTGGAGGGGAAGACACCTCTTAGTTGGCCAAGAACAAAGCGTATTCGCTTTATGGCTGTCTCGTGTGTGTCTGGGTGATGTAAAGCAATACCAAGCTCCAGTTAAGGCCCGTGTCCTCTGTGCACATGGAAAATTTGGGCCAGTGTTACAACTTTCCCTGAGAGAAGCAGCAGCATGAGATAAAAATACACTCAGGGGATGGAGACACACATTCTTTCTTCTCCCAGGTGACTTGAATCTCAGACTTCCCACTTACCTTGCCCTTCACTTGACCTCCTTGGGACCTGACGTCCTAGATTAATTTCTTGGCCTCTCTTTCCCTTTTATCTGGAACCAAGCCGAGGACTCTAGGACTTCGCAGATCGTGCCATAAGTAACAAATTCCATTCTCTCAGTCACGGGCTTTTCTCTGTGGATTCTGCACTACAGCAACGACCGTTCTCCTCACATGCCATCGTTAGCACATTTGAGACGAGAAAAATCTATTACTGCACCTCCCCCATTCTGACAAACGCACCAGACACCAGCCGTCACCACCTCTCTGTCCATCCGGCATTTTAGCCTTTGGGGTGGGAGAACTTATTCATTCTATTTATTTTTACCCCACCATATTATTGTAAAGACACAGCATTCAAAGTATACATTTTGGTGTAGTAAAATAAATCAAATTTGAAAAATAGTGTGAAAAGACAACAGCAGCAGGAAAATAAGGTGAGGTTAGAAATGAGTTTCATTCTCCAAATGCAGGCCCAGGAGACTACACCCCTCTTAGATGGGTACCACGAAACCTGTCTCTCCCCTGCCAGCAGCTGACACCCAGGGGGAATGTAATCAAATAGGGGATGTACACGTCCCCTTCAGGAGAAGCCCGAGGAGCAGAGAGAGAACTTTCCCCTAAACATCTTCAGAGGCAGGATCCTCTGTGGTAGAACTAATGTCTTCACCAGCCACATCGTGACAGTGAACAGAGTGATGAATTTCACCTGAGAACTGGGAGCGAGGAGAACAGAAAGGAGAGGGCATCGGTGATGGTTTGTGCCTAAAACTGGCAAAGAGGAGATGAGATTTAACTTGCTAAAAATTACCAAGCCCTCGTCTTCCTCAATCCCTAACCAAGCTAAGCATTGTCACTGGGGAAATTTAAGATTTTTTTTTTTTCTTGAAAGAAAGCATAACTGGGATTTTCCCGACAGATGCAGAAGACCAGATAATAGCCCGAATCGTCGAGCTGCTGAAATACTCGGGGGATCAGATGGAGATGGAGGTAGGGTGCTCCTAGAACCAGCCCGGTCCTCTCTGTGCCCGTGCACTGGTGCACGAGCCCAGATTGCACTCCAGCCTGTATTCCCTTTCGAAGTTCTGATTTCCACTTAGTCCTAAATTTTATTTCACTTGGAGTCAAAATTCTTCATGCTGGCTGCATCTCAAAAATGAATCACTCTGGAAAACATAAGTAAACCTTCTGGAGCCTCCTTGGAATTTTTGGAAGCGAAAAAAGTAACTTTGTTATTGTAAGAAAAGACACCAATAAATTACAATTTGCTGAATAGAATCCTGAGTCTAGTTCCCCATGTAACTGATCCTCAGGGAAGTTCAGACTCTTGCGCTGGCCCCACAGCCTGGAGAGCTGCACCCCGCAGCTGCTCCAGGCTGCAACCCTGTCTGAAATCCACCCCCCCCCCCCCCCCATGGCTGGACGGCTCTCCGCTCGAGTCTCTCTCAGCAATCTGGCTGGGCAGGCCAGTTAGTGTTACTTGGAACATTGGATTTCCTGCCATTTAGAAGTTGAGACCCGTCATTCCAATTAGAAACATGTGACAGGCGCCTGCAGCTACAGGGTTGCTGAGCCGCTCCCCGCTCTACTCAGAAGGGCTTCTGAACAACAACCCCTCCCTGTCTGTCACCCACAGGCTGCCGAGGGGTCTCCACGGTCTGTCAATCAGGGGCTGGCCTGGGGACCCATTTCCTGGTTTGGCCAAGATCCAGCGGGGAAGAAGTCAGGCCCAGGGGGCTGCAGAAGCGGGGACAGCACCGACCACCTAGTCACTGCGTGCTCTGTGGCTGCTGTCTAGATGCCTTTGTCACAGGCTGGTGGCCAGGGTGCTGATAGGCATGAGACATGGCACAGAATGAGACGCAGTCAGGGATCTGAGACTACAGAGAAGGGGTGGGGTGTGAACTTCGGGGCCACAAGTTAAGGTGGACAGGGGTGCAGAGGAAGCAGACAGGAGAACATGGTACATGATCCAAGGACGCCCTGGTGTCCCTGCAGAGCTAACATCAATGAACAGCAGTTGCGGGGCAACTGATTTCTCCCCATTTTAAGAATGACCTCTCCAGGCGTGGTGGCTGCCTTCCAGAGCCAAGGCTGACCTTCCTGTCCCTAGAAGAAGTTCAAGTAGATGCCAGTAACCAAAGCAGCAGTTGGGGACCTGAGCTGGGACGGATCCAGGAGATGTCCTCTAGGGTTCTTTAAGGGTTGAAGCTTCTGGCTCTCCCGGCAGCCTCCCTTAGCGCTGACTTGATGTAGGTCAGGGAGGAAGGCAAGCCCTCTGGTTATGAAGAGAGATGCTTTCTTTCTCACCCCACAAATTACTACATGGGAAAAAACCTCACTTTGTCTATTACACTCTCTTGATGATTTGGGTGGTGTTTTGCATTATTTATTTACAGCACATGGCGGTTCTTCCTTTTATGTGGTTCCCCAGTAGAGAACTCGGGCAGGAGCACGTAAAAAGCCTGACTTGTGCACTGTGGGTGTGAGCTGCCCCCAGAGTGGGACAGTGACAAGGGAGAAGGGCCCGGCCCCAGCTGCAGTGCCTGCACCCGCAGCCTCATCCCCCACCTGTACCTCTTCCCAAGTGATGCGCCGAAGCCAGCAGGGGCCAGAAAGGGGCAGGGGGAGGGCCCGGATGCTCTGTGGGGGATGTTCCTTTCTGGTGTTGCATTTCTTTACCATTTGGCAGAGTCCAGGCTTCCAGCTGCCCCCTGAGGCTTTGAGTTTAGCTGCTTCAGCTGAGTCGCTGATTACGAGGAGTCCATCCTTGATGTGGAGGACGCTGGTCGTTCCTGCTTCAGCTTTATAATTCAGATGGGCCCAAGTGCCTCCTGCAGGCTGGGGGCGGGCTGGGCTCAGACAAAGGATACTGCTCCCCAAACTCCTTCTGCAGCCTCTGACTCATCCCCAGGATATGCCTGTTATAAACGATATTTGCTGAAAACCTGCTCATCTTATCATTCCTCAAGCACAGAGCTAGAGGATGTTCAGATAAACATTTGGTCCCTGCTAAGGCATCATTTCTGTTTTCACGTGACAACCATCATATTAATAGACATTGCAAGGATGGCTGTAAGTGAGGGTGATGTCTGCCTTAGGACTCAAGCCCTGAGTTTTTCAAAAGAAACAGAAACGATACTGACTTTTTTGTTAAAGATATGGAAGTCCAAAGCAGGTAGAGCAGAGAGATACTAGGGGGAGGTAGAACAGGATGAGCGGAGCCATGGAAAGGAATCAGTGGATTAGGGTCTTTTTTTTTTTTTTTTAGTGAACTCATGCGTCTCAGGGCGTCCTCCCTGACGCCCTGGCTCTCACAGCACCCGGAAAAATTACTAACATTTCACAAGCACGTCTTCACGTGGGGCACTGTGCCTAGTGCTTTGCTCAGTCACCCCGTAGTACAGTTACTGTCATCATCCTGGATTAGAGAGGACACAACCGGAGGTGAGAGGATAGGTCATTTTCTCCCCAGATTGCACAGCAAGGAAGAGGCGGAGCAGGGGGTTGAGCCGACATGGTGATTTCCAAGCTCTGGAGTCAGCCCCTGACATGACCCGGAGCAAAGCCCTTGGCACTGCATTGTCATCGTCACTAGACTGTGCGCCCCTGAGTGAGGACCTGGGTCTTAATCATCCATAGGCCCTGCACTGCAGGTGCTCAGGAAACATTCCATGAATGTGGAGTGAATGAGCTGTTCAGGCCAATCACTGATTTGCCCCAGTGAAGTGAAGTCACAGGCGGGCCCGTGCCTGGTCTGGTTCTGCAGCGCATTGTGCCATGGTTGAGACCGGAATGCAGAGTTTCCCACTGGGTGTTTAGTGGCCCACCGTCGAGCTAGGTAGTCTGCCCTACCGGGCCAAGTCGCACTACTGAATGCTTATCGTCTTGTACGCAGCTGAAGAAGGACAAGACCTTGATGAACAGCTTCCCGGGCGGCCTGTCCTACCCCATTTTCAAGACCATCACAGACCAGTTCCTCAGGGGTATAGATACCAGAGGAGAATCAGAGGTCAAAGCTCAGGGCTTCAAGGTTGCTCTGGCAATAGACGTCACGGCCAAGCTCACCGCCATTGACAACCACCCCATGAACAAGGTGCTGGGCTTTGGAACCAAGTACCTGAAAGAGCACTTTTCACCTTGGATCCAGCAGCATGGTGGATGGGTAAGTGCATGTTATCAAAAAACGAATCACCCCGATCTCAGAGTAGATCGGATGGAACGTGTGAGGGTTTATTTTTGTTTCGTTTTATTTTTAGTAAAGGGAACACATCCATGGAACACATCCATGAAGCAGTTCTCATGGGTTTCGGATGCTTGAGTGGCAAGAGATATATCCCACTGATGGGAACATATTTTTAGTGATTATCTTCATCATCAATAAATATTTACTGAGCTCCCAAAGGGTGCATGGGCTACATGTGTCAGGGGGCAGGGAATGGTCAGGACTGGAAATGAGGACATGATGAGAGATGAGACATTTAGGTAGATATAATGTCTGTGTTCACAAATTCTGCAGGCAGCAGGCAAAGGGCAGTGAGTCAGGGGAGGCAGACCCTTCCTCGCACCCTCAGATGCTTACAGGCTGTGGGGATAATCCTCATGCAGGGCTTCAGGGTGACGATGACATTTTTGTCATTGGGGCTTTGACCCAGAATTTTGACAGGGACGTTTTGATACAAACTAAAAAGCAAACAGTTAAATTTTCATCTGTTTTAAATGACCTGCTATCAAACAAAAGGGATATCTTCCCCCCCATGTTTCAGCCTCAGCCCTTCCCTCCTCCTTTATCCCCATTCCTTGAGATTGTCCTTGAACTGTTATGTTCAAATGGCCTCCTAGGGTCAGCCTTGTCAAATGCTTTGCCCCAGAGCTTTAAATCTCAGAGGATAGGCCTTTGCCCCACCTCATTAGTCCCCTTCCTACCGGAATGTTCCCGGGCCAGCAGCAGGGTTAAGTCTCTTTGAAACATGGCCAGCATGACCCTGGGGCATCCAAGCCAGCCTTCGTCTCTCGGCAACCAGGGAGACAGTACAGCTGATCTTGCCTCAGGGCCCAGAGTGCCCACCAGGGTCTTCAGCGAAGGCCTGTTAAGCTACCCTGTCTTCTGATGTTTTCCTATTTCCTGCGCTGGGTATGACAGCCCTTCAGTGGCTGAACAACTAAGGCTGTTAAGTATTTTAAATGTAGGTGGCCTCAACTCATGCTAAGAGGACAGATTCCTGGGCAAGATTTCAGCTTTAGCTGTCCTTCCTGCAAGGACCCCTTCGAGTCCCCCTTCTGTCCCAGAGCCTATCCCAACCACCCAGCTCATGATCATCCCCAGCCTCTGACCCTCCCACAACACTTCCTGTTTGCACTGTGCCTACATACAGGAAGTCACCATCGTTGTTGGTCCTGTAAAGATATTTTTCCATAGAGATTATAAGTATCAATTGGGTTCCCAGGCCAGTTCTCAAACGTCCGCTTAGTTAATTAATGTGACTGAAATGCCAAACGTGTCCTGTAAACAATGGTGGTTCCACGCCAAAAGCACAAGCAAGAAAAGAAAAAAATAAACTGGACTATTAATGAAAATTAAAAACTTTTCTATTTCTGGGGACATCACAAAAAAGTAAAAACACAACTCATATAATGGGGAAAATATTTGGAAGTTGTATACTTATATTTAGAATATGTAATGAATTCTTAAAACTCAAAAACAAATAACCCAGTTTTTCAAACGGGCAATGGATTTGAATGGACAGTTCTCCAAAGAAGATGTACAAATGGCCAACAAGCACATGCAAAGATGCTTGCCTGGCATCTTCATTTTAACATCGGGGAAATGCAAATCAAAACCACAACGAGATACCATTTCACACCCAGTAGCGCGGCTAAAATAAAAAAAGATGAGTGTCGGTGAGGACAGGAGAAATTTGAACCCTCACACATTGCTGGTTGGATGCTAAAATGGTCCAGCCCCTTTGGAAGACAATTTGGCAGTTCCCCAAAATGTGCAACATAGAATTACCAATTCCACTCTTTGGTATGTACCCAAGAAAATTGGGAACAAATGTTCACATAAAGACTTGTACATGAATGTTCATAGCGGCATTCATTATTCATAAGCCCCAAAGTGGAAAGAACACAAATGTTCATCAATAGTGAATAATGACTACAGAAACCAAATGTGGCATATTCATACAATGGAATATTATTCAGCCGCAAAAAGGAATGAAGTATTGACAGACAAATGAACCTCGAAAACATTATCCTAAGTGAAAACAGTCAGACAAAAAGGCCATCCATTGTATGATTTCATTTATATAAAATGTGCAGAACAGGCGGATTCAGAGACAGATTAGCGGCTTCCCAGGGCTTTCAGGGGAGGGACTGGGGAGTGACTGCTAAAGAGTTGGAGTTTCTTTTTGTGATGAGACTGTTCTAAAAATCAGACAGAGGCACAAATTATAAACATTCCAGAAGCCAGTGAGTTATATACTTTAAAGAATTAATTTTATGGCATATTTCAATAAATCTGTTATGAAAACAGTGGTTCTAATTCCAGTCAGGCAACAGAAAGGGGGGAAATACAAATGTTTTTATTTACTTCTTTTTTAAAAATTTGTATGCTAGTTTCTAACTAGAGAAAAATAGGTGGACTCTTCAGTAGAAATAATAAAGGGAATTTTCAAAGGCTTTAGAATTTGATGGCACTAGTTCTTTATCGCTTGCAGTTTCCATTCCAAATTTATTAGCTTGCTTTCTGGGCCATCAAAAATCCTGATTTCAATGCTTGGCTGTAATTTAGTTTTATTTGGAGTGTGAAGCTGGAAATTAGGAAAGGGAGAAAAAGAAGAGAAAGGACTAATTTTCCAAAGTGATAGAAAAAGAGTTGTAAAAAATAAGAATGTTGATTTAAAACTGTATCTATGAGTCTGTAGGAGTCACGGCAGGACAGAGGACTTGTGGGCTGAGACCTGTGCCGGGTTCCCGAACAGGGAAAAAAACGGTGGCGCTCCCCGGGGGGCAGGCCTCCAGGGACTCCCATTGGCTGCAGGCATTCCAGGGCCTCTCTGGGACGCCCTTGCAGTGGTGCGGAAGGAAGAAAATGATTCCTAGGCTTTCCGGGGGCTCAGGGTTCATTCCCCAGTTTCTCAGTATTCCGTACGAGCACATCTAATCTTCCCAACCAAGCTGCAAATCTGTAAGGGCAGAACTGCACATTTTTATGCCTCTTTTTATATCTCTAATAGCTCCCACTACTTCTATATATATCACAGAGGTTCAGCCAATACTTGTAGAATAATGAATCGACCAAGCAAATGAATAGCCACTCTGTTTATAAGGCATGCTAAACAAGCTAACGCGGGATTTTAATTTACTCTTTGGCCCTTTTTCCTCACTGTTCACCCAGTCGCCCTGACCTCCTGTAGCCACTCCCATTCTACAGCACCCTGAAAAGAGGCTTATAAAGGAGAGGAAAGCCACCGACCTTTCCTTATTCAAAATTCTTTTGAATTTTAAATACAGCATCTAAGCCTTTTCCCACTTAGCCTGTTAGCCCTGGATGTGTAACCCAAGTCCTGAGCTGGCGTTTTCCTTGCAGGCATACCAAGGATGCTGGTCACCTTTCCAAACCCTCCCCCCATCCCTAATATAGTCTCTGGGCCCCGGGTTGTGCCTGGGATAAGAGAGCAGAGTTAACAGGCATATGTTTTCACTTCAACAGTGAATCCAACTTGGAATTTTAAGAATCTAATTTCTCTTTTTCCCCTCTAGGAAAAAGTACTTGGGGTATCACATGAAGAAATTGACTGAAACATCAGATGTGTAATCTGGAATGCTCATCAGCCAACTGTGGTCCTGGGTACATCGCTGTCAGCAGAGACTCCAGGAGAAAATAAACTCGTGCAAGGCAGACGGAGCACTGCAGTGTCAAAACCGTCACCCCCTGAACCCAGAGGCACCAGGAGAGGCCTTGGTCGTGTCTAGCTCGTAGACTGCAGTCACATGGCCTTCCCATCCGTGTTTTTCAGGCCCCCCACTGAGTGTGTGAGGAGATCTAGAAAGACTGTTCCTCTCAAAGGTTCGGATCAGAAACCATCGTCTTGCCTCTGTCGGCCACCGTAGGAAAAGTGTGACAGATACTCACCGACCTCCTGAGGGCGAAATGATAAATTGCTCGTGTGCCTACTCTCTGGTTTCTAGTACTATTTATTTTTTAAACTGCAGGTAGGATGGCCTACTGATGCTCTCTGGAGCCTCCCTTTAGGAAGCCGCTGCTGTGTATGTTAGTAGACACAGTTCAGAGAGACGGGAGATGACGGCCACGTCTGCTACTTCGGGGAAGCATGGCCACATCTGCCCTCTTGACTCACTTCTCTAGGATTCCCTGGCAGTCTGAGAACCTTTCATTTGGCAGAAAACAGTGACTCCTACTGCCCTCAACTTGCAGTGACCTCGTCTCTGCCTCTCAAGGTCTTTGGGGATTTCTTTGTTATTTTTTTGTGGGAGGTAATGATTAGTAGTTGGTATGAAAAGGTATCATAAGAGTATCTTGTGGTTAAAGTAAGCAATCATACTGCAATTCCTGTCAGGATCCAGTGCGTTAATTTATAGAAAGCACTCAGAACAGTGCTTGGTCTGGGTGCGAAGTCAGTGTGTGCTTACGTCCACTGGCATGTGCTGTTCTGAGTGGAGCTGAAGGTTTGCACTCCTCTCGAAGCAGTCGCTGATTGTTTTTCTGAAATCAATACTGTTCAGAATGAGGTATTTCACAGTGAGTATTTAAGACATACAGCAATGTTTAAAAATGCTTTCAAATTACAGGGTCTTACAAATTTCTGGGTCTCTAGCACCCAACATGCAGTCTGACATAGAATAGGTGTTCAAAAAAACCTTTGATGGACACATAAATGAATGGGTTATTCAGATATACTTTCAACTTCAAGAGAAACATGGACCTAGTACCACATGCTTCACTACCCAACCCATCTCAACGGACTGAGTATTGTCTTACTTCCCTCCCCACATTGAAAGCAGAAATGTGAGGACTAAAGGGGTCTCCTTTTGCAGATGGAGACACTGGAGGCCACCTATTCTCCCACTGCGATCCAACATGTCAAACTGTTTGCAGGTCCCCAAGTGTGTTATGTACTACAAGTGTGATCTTGTAATCCAGAGGCTTCATAACAGCACGTTCTCCATTTGCAGTGTCTCTGCCTGCTGGTCCTCTTTCTAGTTTCCTCTAATCCAACCAACTCTAGCCCATCTTTCCAAAATCACTCCATTTCCACAAGAAACCATTCATAACCCTCTCTCAGCCATCATTTGGCAAAACCCTCTCTCAGCCATGGGGCTACATTTGGATGCTTTTCTTCATAAGGATGCTACATAGCACCATGTATGTGGACATTATACTCAATACATTTGTACCATAAGAACAAGTCTTTCACACTGGATTGCAAACTCTTCGTAAACAAGTATAATGCCTAATTTTACTTTGTATACCTAATGCCTGGCATATTTTCAGGGCACAATCGCAGAATCATACCTTAACCTTTCTGCTGTAACCTAAATCAGTGAGACTGGAGTATGGCCCAAGGTGTGTGTGGTTTTTAACAAGCTTTTTAAGTGTTTCACTATCATCTGCAGCTTCCATCCAAGATAACATAACAGTAACTGAATTTAATCTGTTTAAAATAACTGAAAAAAAAAACCAGGCAAAATGTTTGAAAGAACATTTTTCTAGATGTTATGCATCAGGTAATGAAGAACTGGTCCTGAGAGATGAGAAACAAAGCGAGCCCTATGCTTGCCCTACAAGACTGCAGGTAAAGAGTGTTCAGGCTGTGCTGGAAGGAGGGGAACCCATGCAGGGCTCAGCAGTTTCCCTGAATACAGAAGACAGACCCTGGGAGTCCAGGAAGGCCAAGGCAGCTAAAGTTTGCAGGGAAAATAAAGGAGAGAAGGAATGGCACACAAAGCTTCAGAGATCTGCAGATCGGTCCCCTCAAGCGTTCAGATGAATACTGAACCATACATGCACATGAAGATGTTATCCAAGGCTTTAAAAAAGAACACCTGAAGATATTAAGGGAACACGTTCTGAAACACACACAGGGTTGGGACTTGTGCCTATCTCCACCGTCCAGGATGGAAAAACCTCAAAACTGGCACTGCTATAGGTAAAATACTCAGAAGAATTTTGCCTCCCAAATGGGAAAAAATTAGCCTGAGACTAAACATAGTTCTGGTTCTGCCCAATAAAGATGAAGAGCAAAAACCAAAGGATCAACAACGGAGTTGTGTTCCAGAGCAAAGCTCATGAATCTTCACAAGATCACAAAAGTATCCAATACTCAACAAGGTAACACTGACAATATCTGGCATCCAACTGAAAAATGACAAGGTATAAAAAGAAGCAGGAAAATGAAACCAATAGAAAAACCAGGAAAAGAATCAAGGAAAGCCACCCTGGAAATGATACAGCTGATAGAATTACTAGACAAGGACTTTAAAACTATTATCATTGTGCTCCATTCACTCAGCAAGCCACAGGAAAGACTGACCCTTGAGTCCACATAGAAATTATAAATTGATTTAAAACTTCTAAAGGAATTTGTAACTCTGAGATGAAAAACAGACTGGACTGAATTAACAGACTACAGTATGTAGGAGAACAGATAAGTACATTCGAAGACAAAGCAATTGATTCAAAATAAAACAGAAATAAGACTGGGGAGAAAAAAGCAAAGCAATAGTGAACTTTGGGATAACTTCTATTGGCCAATCTGTGTGTAACTGCAGTGAAATATTTCCAAGTCTGATAAAAACTATAAGCCCATGGTAACAAGAAACTCAATGAATGTCAACTATAAAAAAACATAGAAAACTACAGTAAGGAATATCATAAATTGCTCAAAACCAGTGATTTAAAAAAAATCTTGAGAGCATAACCAGAGAAAAAGGTACATTACATACTCAGAAACAAACAAAAAAATTGATAGCAAACTTTTCTTGTAACAACACAAGACATTAAAATAGAGTGTCATCTTTAAAGTGTCAAGAGAAAAAAATTATCAATACAGAATTCTATACACCCCCCAAAAAAAGATGTTTTAAAGATGAAGATGAAATAAAGACTTTTGAGATATGCAAAGGCTAAAAGAATTCCTCACTAGCAGAACTGAACTACAAAAAATGTTAAATGAAGTCCTTTATACAAAACAAGCCTCAACAAATTGAAGAAAATTGAAATCGTATCAAGCATTTTCTCAGACCACAGGGCTTGAAACTAGAAATTGACCTCAAGGAAAAAACATCCAAACTCATGGAGACTGAATAGCATGCTATTAAATAATGAATGGGTTAATAATGACATCAAAGAAGAAATCAAAAAGTGTCTGAAAACACCTGAAAATGAATACACAACAGTCCAAAGTCTGTTGGACACAACGAAGGCAGTCCCGAGAGGGAAGTTCATAGCAATACAGGCCTACCTAAAAAAGACAGAAATACCCCACATAAACAACCTAATCCCACATCTACAAGAACTGTAGGAAGAACAACACACAAGGCCTAGAGCAAGTAGAAGGACAGAATCAAGATCAGAGTAGAATTAAATTACAGAGACTAAAAGTACAATGAAAAGGTTCAATAAATCCAGGAGCTGGTTCTTTTATCTTTAAAAAAGCCTTTATGGGTAAGCCTTTAACGAAACTCATCAAGAAAAAAACAGAGAGGACCCAAATAAATAAAATCAGAAATGAAAGAGGAGAAATTGCAACTGATACCACAGAAATACAAAGGATTATAAGAAATTATACAAACAACTATATGCCAAGAAATTTGAAAACCAGGGTGAAATGAACAAATTTCTAGAAAAATATAATCTTCCAAAACTGAATCAAGAAAGCCTGAACAAACATAACAGCTGGTGCAATCAAAGCAGTAATCAGAAAACTCTTGGCACTCGAAGCCATGAACTGGATGATTGCACAGGAGAATTTTACAAAATATGTAAGAAAAAGATAACCCCTATCCTTCTCAGACTATTCCAAAATATCCAAGAAAAGGGAAGACTCCCAAACTCTTTTTGGGAGGCCAGGATCATCCTAACTCCAAAAACAGATAAAGACACAACAAAGAAATAAAACTACAAGCCAATATCGCTGATGAACATAGACACTAAAATCTTCAACAAAATAATGGCAAACTGCCTCTAACAATACATCGAAAAGATCATACACCATGATCAAGTGGGATTCATCCCAGGAATACAAGGATAGTTCAATATTCGCAAATCAAGAAAGTTAATAAACTATATAAATAAAATGAAGGATGAAAATCACATTATCACAGATCTATTGAAATATGAAAAAGCATTTGATAAGTTACAGCACCCATTTATGATAAAAACACTTAGCAAAGTGCGAGTAGAGGAAGCATACCTCAACATAATAAAAGCCATATACAAGAGTATACTCAGTGGGCCAACATTATACTCAGTGGGCAAAAACTAAAAGCTTTCCCCTTAAGACCAGGAACAAGACAAGGGTATGTTTTCACCACTCTTATTCAACATAGTACTGGAAGTTCTAGCCACCACAATCAAACAAACAAAAAAAAAGAAGTAATACACATCCAGATTGGAAAGGTGGAAGTAAAACTGTCATTAATAACAGGAAACATAATAGTATATGCAGAAAACGCTACAGTCTCCACCAAAAAAACTACTAAACCTAATAAGTGAATTTGGCAAGATAGTAGAATACAAAGTCAATATTCAGAAATCAATGACATTTTTGTACATGAACAATAAAATATCAGAAATAAAAACTAAAAAAAAACCATTTACTATAGCAACAAGAAAAATAAAATAACCTTGAATAAATTGAAATAAGGAAGTAAAAGACCTGTACTCAGAAAACTATAGACACTGAAGAAAGAAATTAAGGAGGATACAAATACATGGAAGCATATGCCGTGTTCATGGGCTGGAAGAATTAACATCATTAAAATCTCCATACTGCTGACTTCCGGCCAAGATGGAAGTGTAGGTAGACACACTGTGCCTCCGTGCACAACCAAAAGAAGGAAAACAACAAATTTTAAAACAAAAAACAACCAGAACTGACAGGAAATCAAACTGTATGGTAGTCCGACAACCAAGGAGTTGAAGAAGAAACATTCATCCACATGGGGAGGAGGGGTGAAGACGGGCAGCTGGATGGAGAGGACTCGCAGTGAGGCGGTGGCTGGAGGACCAGGGCAGGTTGCAGCTGGTGGGCAAGGCAGCAGCTGGCGGACCCAGAGAGACAGGGAATGAGGACTGGGCAGTCCTTCATTTGTGTGCGGATAAACTGGGAGGAACAACTGGGGAGCAGGACAGACAGCACAACGAACAGTTCCAGCGTGAGAAAATAAAGCCTCAGACCTCTGACTGAAAACACCTGTGGGGGTTGAGGCAGCAATGGGAGAAACTCCCACCCTCACGGGAGATTTTGTTGGAGACACCCACAGGGTCTTAGAATGTACACAAACCTACCCACCTGGGAATCAAAACCAGAAGGATCTAATTTGCTTGTGGGTATCAGAGGGAGTGACTGAAGGCTGGCAGAGAGCTGAGCAAGTGGCATTGTTCCCTCTAGGACCCCTCCCCCACATACGGCATCACAACACAGGGAAGTGGGTTGCCCCGCCCTGGTGAGTATCTAAGGCTCTGCCCCTTACTATGGAACAAGCATTCTGAGAAAGGAAAATATGGCCTAAATGAACAGATCAAAGCTCCGGAAAAAATACAACTAAGCGATGAAGAGATAGCCAACCTATGAGATGCACAGTTCAAAACATTGGTAACCAGGATGCTTGCAAAACTGGTTGAATATGGTCACAAATTAGATGAAAAAATGAAGGTTGTGCTAAGTGAAATTAAGGAAAATGTACAGGGAACCAACAGTGATGAGAAGGAAACTGGGACTCAGATCAACGGTGTGGACAAGGAGAAAGAAATAAACATTCTAACCAGAACAGAATGAAGAAACAAGAGTTCAAAAAAATGAGGAGAGGCTTAGGAGCCCCTGGGACAACTTTAAATGTTCCAACACCCAAATTATAGGGGTACCAGAAGGAGAAGAG